TGTGGCCATCCTCCCTGAGAAGTGATTTCTCGCTCCCTGTCTCTCTCTGTCTTTCTGGCAAGCACATGCGCCTTATAGCAAAAACCTCTTTAAAAAAAAGAAAACCAAATAAATAAATGGATAAATAAGTTAAATAACATAATTCTTTAGTAAGAGCCGGCTGTGTGTGGAGTGAACTGAGAACCACAATAATTATTTGCATAATTGCAAAGTGAACGTCTAGTCATCAGGGCCATCTGGTGGCATGGTTATTAAGGCAGCCAAGTTCCACATGGCCAACTGGCCAACCATGAGGTTCAAGTCCCAGATCCAGTGGCTTGAAAAAATGCTGTGTGTGTGTGTGGGTGTGTGTGTGTCCCAAATCCTGCAAGAATGGAGTGTGTGTGTCCCAAATCCTGCGAGAATGGAGTGTGTTGAAAAAATGCTGTGTGTGTGTGTGGGTGTGTGTGTGTCCCAAATCCTGCAAGAATGGAGTGTGTGTGTCCCAAATGCTGCGAGAATGGAGTGTGTGTGTGTGTGTGTGTGTGTGTGTGTCCCAAATCCTGCGAGAATGGAGAAGGGACTGCAGCACGGCCACCTGCCCTGGGAAGGAGGGCCTGCTTTTTCACGTTCCCTCTTTCTCTGTCACTCTCCAGGACAAGCACGTGCCATATGGCAAAATTTAAATTAAAAAAAATTTGCACTACTCTTACTGAAATGTTGATTTCTACTACAGATAAACTCAAGCTCTCCTTGACGTTAGTGACTACGTAAGCGCTGCTGTTTGTCCCTCCTCAAAGACTTTGGCCACATTCTGAGTCTGCTGCTCCCTGGCAAACCGCAGATGTGACCACAGCCGGCCATGGTACACTGAGCCACTCACCCACCCAGCCAGCAACAGCCCCCCCCCAGGAGACAGGCGTCTGCTCACTGCGTGACCTTCCGGTCACATCGCACGGGTGCTAGCCGAGTCCGAGTGTGTCGAGGTGCAGCCAGCGTAGGGCTTCTTTACTGCTGGTCAAAACTCCTTCTGTGGTACTCCTCTCATCAGATGTTCTGTTCCTTTGTTTCTTCCCCATGGCTAAAATAGATAAACTTTCATTTCTTTTAGTTAAAAAGTTTCGTGTTTTCTTTTTCCAGTGCCATCTGCCATTTTCTGCACTGCTGTAAAAAGTAGGCGTCTGTGGTTTCTGAATGGAATACGAGACCTCCCACCTGTAAGGACACACTGAGGAGGGAGTCGTCAGGACGCAGCGGTCGGGGCTCGGGGGCACGGGCGGGGGCAGCCACGCAGTCGAGGCACAGGCAGCAGGGGAGGCTGCGCAAGGGAGGTGACGTTTATCTGAGCTGCATTTTGAAGTAGATACTCAAGAAAAGCATATCCCAGGGAAAGAACAAAAGCAGCTGCCAAGATAAAAGGGCCCCCCTTCCCCACAGACACCAAGTTGTCAAGCGATGTTCCGTTATTTTTCTCTTTGCTGCTGCATCTCATCTCTCATCGGCACAGTAATGGGCTGCACTTTCACACTCCCCGCCTCCCCCGTAACTGAATTCTTCCCTTCAAGAGTCTACTCAGCCGGGCTCCACGGTTAACAGAAAGAACTCAGGCCGCGGTGGCTCAGGGTGCGTACGGGACAGACACTGGCCCCAGGCCCATGTCGACGGCTGACTTGTGAGCAGAGGCAGTCCAGGGGTGGAGCGGGAGGGCAGGTTCCGAAACGTCACCCATCTGGGGATTGGGGAAAATCCCAAGCCTCACACCACACCTCTCTAGGATATGAAACAGGCACTTTCCTGAAGTGCCCCAAGTGGCTCCGACGAGCGGACAGGTTGACGAGGACAGCCACAGCAGGCGCTAGGAAGAGCCAGCTCCACGGCCCAGCGGCGGGTGGAGGCAGCCTAGTCTGTGGAGCGGCGTGGCCACTGTGAGGCCTGGCCACAGCACAGGCCACCCTCCTCAGGGCAGAGCCCGCGCTCTGAGCCACGCTCATGAAGTGGAGCTGGAGAGCAGGGCCGCGGCTGTTCTAACGCTCGCTCTCATGGCACAATGCCTAACCTACCAGAAAGCTCATTCCTTCTGTTCATTCCTGGGATTTTACACGAGTAAGGACTCAAGCTGTCAGTGCAATCAGCATTAACGGCTAAATGAGCCGAGTTTGGCCAAATTCGGCTTTTCTCCACCAAGTATTAGATTTGCATGCAGCAAAATGTAAACAGCACTCCCGTCCCTAAGCAGTGGAAGGGTATCTTGGGCTCTCGCTGCCTTGCAGAGAGCACACCCTGAGGCAGGATCCCGGGCAGCACTGCCATTTATGGGGACTCGGCTGACAACACTGCATGGAGCAGTCGGTTCCAGGGAGAGGGGGCGTGTGCACTCCCGGACAGGTGGGAGGCGCAGTTTCCGAGGAAGTCTGCGACTCTGGCTGGAAGAGCATGTGTCCTGACGCTGTGCTGTGGTATAAGGCCAACCCCGGAGCGTGACAAAGCTAGAGCGGCTGCTCGTCTGCAGAGAATGGCTTTGCAGGTTTAAATGAGGAACTTCTCGGTGGGGGGCAAGGAAAAGGGAGGCAGAGAAGAGACCCAGTGCTGACTCTCAGCTCCCTGTGACAGAGGGAAGAGGCCGCGTATTTCTAGGGTCAAAACAAAAACAATGAAGTGGAAAATGAATTTTTAGAATCCCCCACATCGCTCACTTTACTTTCCTCTAGACGAAGTAATGTGACAAAAGGAAGTTCTATTTCAAAGGATTTCCACTGCGTTTCCTCCTCTGAACTGGAGAGAAACAGTCCAATTCATGGCTTCAAATTACTCAAGTAATAACGCCAGCCCGTGTTCTGGTTGGAGACGACCTGCCCTGCCCTCTGCTCCCTGCGCGTTCTACGGAAACCATCCCCCTAGGACGAAGCAGGCCCCGATATGCTGTCAGCAACGGCACCCAGAGGCCAGGCTTCCTGCCTGTGTGTCCCGTCCTGTTCTCAAGGGCGGTCCCTGAGCCAGGCGCACCTGCACCTCCTGAGAGCTGGTAAGGATGCAGGGTCTGGCCACCGCAGGCCAAGTGCGGTCACCTGCGACGGAGCCGGCGGCCGACAAGCCTTCCGTGTCCCGGGGCCCGCTATTTTGAGCATCACTGTGTCGGACACCCCTCCCCACGTGAAGAAGTGAATCACACGGGAATGAGCGTGCCCAAGCTGCAAGCACACTAAACGTCAGAGTTGATTTTGGATGTCATGACACCAGGCCACCTATGATGTGACACGTGAGCGAAGCTCCCAGCTCCCTGGAGGTGCCTGGATGGGAAGGTGTAATCCCCGGTATGAGGACGGGACACGACGGGACAATCCCAGCACCCCTCCAAGGAAAAGATGGAGCCTCAGGTCCCCGGCCCCCACCATACAACCCTGGCCCCTTTTGTCAGGACTCCAGGCTAACACAAGCCAGTCATGCCTCTGTGACCATAAACGAGCTCAGGCGAGTCCACGAGAGAAACGATCGGAGCAGCCAGGAAGCCTTCTTCCCATGTTTTTCACTATCTTTTTTATTTAACAGAGTACATGTAAAAACAGCATGAAGTTCCTAAAACGCAGCACTCCTATGTGCAGCTTGTCCCTGACTCCGCCCGTCCTGTCCTGTCCTCATGGCGCGTGGGGCACGGGGACACGGCCCTCCCCTGCTGGGCACCCGCGGGGCGGCTCTTCCCTGTCACAGCACGGCCCTCCTGTCCCCTCCTTGCCCTTCTTTCACCACATTCGAGAAAACCCTCCGTAAATGCTATGGGTGTGCCAGCACTGCCCGGTAACACTGCGGGTCAGACATGGCACCGCCTGCCACTCCCTGGTCACAGAGATGCTCACGCTGCACGGCACCGGCTGGCACCAGCGGTGACACGGCCAGTCTGCGTGTCCCCTTAAGGCCTCTGTCCCAAAGCAGTTGCTTGAAACGCAGCTGCAGCTGTGGAGGCACGTCAATAAACACCATTGGGAAAGGATGCTTCTGGAAGTTTAGACTTCTTTGGCTGTTTCTCCCGTTTGAACACTTAAAACAGTATTTTCATGTTTGTTTTTCCTTTCTGTGCAATTCTGCAATCATGTGAATTTACTAGGAAAGGAGGGTGGGAAGAAGAGAGTAATTTCAGGCTGATTTCTAAGACGCCAGGCCGCTGGACATGCAGCTGGCCAGGACCCAGCCCGGAGCCACCCGAGCCGAGAGCCGCCCTGGCCGACACCCGCCCCGGCCGACAGTCACACCCCTGCCCATGCAGACCCATCCTCCTCGGCCCCAGATGGTTGCCTCCCTCTTTCCAACAGCTGCGCCATCGTGGGGACGCTGCTCCCGATCCCCAAGTGCCCGAATGTGTCCCTGTTTCCTAAAACTGGCAAAAGCTCAAGAAATGAAATGGCCAACCCAGCACAGGACAAAGGGGCACAGCCTCAAGGACCCTGCCAGAACCGCCTTCTGAGCCAGCTCCAGGCAGGGACGGCTCCCGGAGTGTGCGGCCAGGGCTCCCACGTCGTCTGACACCAGCCTGCGACACGGGCCTCAAGGACAGGCGGCAGCGCGGTGGCCCTGCCGTGGTGGCTAGAGAGCCCGTGATCAGACATGCATCGGCCATACGCCTGGTCTGTTTAGAATTTAAAACCTTAAAACCACTTCTCAGAACTACGTGGATTCACCATTTTGAAGGACCTCATTTTATATAAATTAACCTTGAAGAAATTAAAGAAAAATTTCATACAAGGAATTCAAGTTTGAAAAATGTTTGAAATTAATATAAACAGGAAGGAAAAGACTGACTCCACTCATCTGTCATACCGAAGTGATGGTTTTTAGAGTCAAAACTGTAACATAAGGCTTAAGGCGCTGTTACGGAGCGGCGATCTTACAAAGCAAAACATAAAACTCCATGTGTCATCGGTCGGCTCTTTCTGGACTGAAAAATTAGTCATGTCTGTCATATCATAATAAAAAAAGTACCATATCCTACAGTCTGGCGTCCCCATGAATTATATCTACTCAAATATGCATTAGTTTCTAGATGCATTATATTTGGAGTTGTTCAAAATAGTTTTTCTTAAAATTACAATTAAACATGAAAAAATTTTAAAGTGGTTTAAAGGTATTAAAATATAGACATTTGAATAACACTAAAAATGAGAAAAATACAGTTACCATTAATTCTTTGAAGCCAACACTAAGTACTTGACGAGCCACTGAGTAGACAGCACTTCTCTGACGGACAGCAGGAGAGGGGGCAGCAGGGCAGGGCAGGGGACAAGAGGTGGCAGCACAGGCTGCGGGTCTGAGGCCGGTCTGTGAGCTGAGCGAACACCGGGAGGGAGGGCTTCATCCGCAGAGGCAGGGGAGCGAGCAGGAGGAAGTCCAGGAGGCAGGCCGCAGTCCCCCCTGGCCGGTCCTTCCTCTGCAGCTCGAGGCCCCCGGCAGGGCTCACGGTATGGAAGTAGGGGGCACGGTAGGGACGGGGCTCACGGTGGAGTGGAGGGAGCACGGTAGGGCAGGGATCACGGGACCAGAGTGGGGTTCACGGCAACCACTGAGATGCACAGAAGCCAGGGTGGGGCGTGGAGCCCAGGAACCACAAGCCCACGTGACATAACGACTAGCCCCGCGCACACCCGCGAGGGCTGCCTCCGCTCACCAGGCCCTGTCGCGACCCCCACCGCAGCACACATGGTTAAGTTGGGCACAAGCATGTCATACTCATTTGCATAGCAAATTTCAAGGGGTGCACTGAGAAATAACCAACTGAGATGGCATGTCATTTTTACAACCAGAATGGCATTCGAGTTGACAAATAAAACGTTTTCTATCGAAAACAGTTAGCTATCAAAGTTCTGGTGATCTGAATTAGAAACAGCACAGGACAGGTTAGCAAACATTAAAACCGCTGCCATCGCAGTCCTCTGCAGGCCGTGCGAGCGTCACTCTTTAATAACCTCCAGGACCTTGTAGACGCTGTTCTGGAAGACCGTGGTGAAGTGCGGCTCGGACTGCTTCACGAGGAGGCTGCACAGGGGCGTCTTCCCAGCATTGGCAGGGTCCTCCACGTCCCAGATTTCTGGCATACTGCAGCCAGGCCTGAGGAAAAGCACGCGTTAGACACGGACGCGGGGGACCACCGTGAGCAGAGCAGGGCGCAGCTCACCCTGACCTCACCCCTCCCTGTGCTTCAACGGACTCCGGTCTCAAAGCGCTCTCCGGGTGTTGGTAAGCTGCCACACTCCTCTTCAGAACAAGGCGAAGCGCAAAGATCACTCTACAGGAATCAGTGGGCCCAGTCAGCAACGGGGGGAGGCGAGGAGCCCGGGCGTGTGTCCTGGGACCCCCTGCACACGCCGGGGTGGGCACGCGTGTCTGTAACGTGGGTTGCCGAGACTCAGAGTGGACCGTGCAGGACGACCCTGTTGGGGATGCCTGGCTGTATCTTCCTTTTCCTCAGGGAAGAAATAAACATTCTGGGAGACCAGCAGTTGGTATAATGGCATTGTCGCTGGACTCCCACGCAGTCGACTGGCGTTCAAGTCCCAGACCTGGTGGCTTAAACTCACGTCGGCTGCGTGTGTGTGTGTGGCCAGGATCCCGAGAGGAGAATGGAGGAGAAGGGACTGCAGCGTGGCCACCCTCCCTGGGGGGTGATTTCTCACTTTGTGTCTCTCTGTCTCTCTCTGTCTTTCTGGAGAGAGCACATGCCTTATAGCAAAAACCTCTCAAAAAAATAAGAAATAAACATTTTTGAAAGAAAGAAAGAAGGAAGAAGTGGGAAGAAGGAAAAGTGGGAAAATACTCATGATGCAGGTTTACTGGGAGGATTAAGTTGTTTTTTTTTTTAAAGATCTTTGCTATAGGGCATGTGTGCTCACTGTAGTAACAGAGACAGAGATAGAAAGCGAGAAATCACCCCCCAGAGGGATGACCACGCCGCAATCCCTTCTCCTCCATTCTCCTCTCGGGATCTTGGGCACGCACGCACACGCAGCTGGCGTTGAGTTTTAAGCCCACAGGTGCGGGACTGGAACTGCAGTCAGCCACGTGGAGTCCAGCGCTTCAACCACCATGTCACCCACTGGCCCCAAGGATTCAGAGTTCTAGCACCATGCCCAGCAGATGCAGAAAGGCAGGATTTTGTTTCAAAAGAAGGACTGGCAAGCACACTTAGTTCACAGCATGGTGGATGAGCTGCATTCTAGAGCCCACCTAGGGGAAATCGGTACCTGAGGCTCCAATCTGGGCTATCTGCATATTTAAATGTAAGGGGATCCACATTTGCATAAAGAAAGGGCTAAATGAAACCAGTGCCGTGTGCTGTCTGTCTCGGTAAGTTCTTCTAAATAACTGTACGTTTATTTTAAATCCAGAACAGCTTTGCAGACATGACTACTGGATTTTTCTAGAGTTTACACTTGATTATGTGTTCTTCAAGAAATTTTAAAAATCAGAAAAACACATGGAAAAATTCAGAGAACTAACAACTGCTTATGTTTAATCACAGTTGCTTCGACTTTATTCTATTCTTCTTTTTCTTTAGGTAAGGAAGAAAACGTCTCCAGCAAGTCCCTTTTCCCTCAGGGCGGTGTAGCTCCGGTCCGCCACCGCGGTCAGCAGTGACAGGGGAGCCCAAGTCCCTCTGTAAACAGCCTCGGATAATCTCCCACCAAGAGGTTTAAGTGCACAGTGGTTAGAGCTGTCGGAATACACACGTACACCAGGCTAAAAAACGCCATTTCTCAGAGGACATCCTGGCGACAACCCAGTGTCTGTGCCCTGGACCTTCATGACCCACATCCTGCACACATGCACCGGCACAGGCCCGGACTCTTACTCAGCAAGAGCTCGAGGTCGTTTTTAGAAAAAAGGGTTTATTTCGGGGCTCCTAACAATCACGTGCGGCTGCTTTTCCATCTCTGTGTTCGTAATACTTGCTAGTACTCATAGGTACTATTTACCTACTCCTTTATAGCTGGTTTAATCACTTTCTATTTTGCCAATATAAAATAACACAGAAACATTCTATGTCAATGTCACTAATTTTGGGGGGGGAGGTTTTTGCTATAGGGCACGTGCGCTTGCCAGACAGACAGAGACAGAGACAGAAAGCGAGAAATCACCCCCCAGGGAGAATGGCCATGCCACAATCCCTTCTCCTCCATCCTCCTCTCGGGATCTTGGGCACGTACGCACACGCACCCGGCATGAGTTTTAAGCCACCGGATCTGGGACGCGAACCATCACGCTAACTGCTGGTTCCCTGTCAATGTCAGTTAAGGTTAACTTCTAGAAACAATATGCTCTAACTAGGAAGAGATACATACACACACATTTAGTTTTGCTATAAGGCGTGTGCATCTCCATCTCTGCAGAGAGACAGAAAGAGGGAGAAAATGAGAAAGCACCCCCACCCTGTGCGGATGGTCACACTGTGACCCATCTCCTCCATCCTCCTCTTGGGATTCCGGACCCGCATGCCGTGTGTTTTCCAAGCCAGTGGGGTCAAGGGGCAAACAGCACAGTCAGCCATGTGGGATCCAGCCACCTGACCACATGCCACGGGCTGGACCAGGACCTAACGTTTTACTTTGCCTCCTTCAAGTACTTTCCCATGAAGAGGGCCCGAGTGCACGATATTTGCGCCCTCACTGAGACTCGCTTCTACTGACACTGAACACCTGTGACCGCAGGGCAGGACATGGATTTGCAACCTCGTTTCTCACACATCAGGGCCGAGACGTGACAACAAGGACAGTGGCATCAGAGTGAGGGCCAGGAAGCAGGAAACCACCCAGAGATCATCGGAGTGGACGGCCTTCGAGAAGAGAGGCCCAGAGCCGCCCTCGGGAGCTGTCAGACTCGTGTGACATCTCACCCTCCACATCTGCACCCCCAGCTCCCCCGGGCCAGCCCGCTCCGCCTCCAGTCGGGGAGAATCTGAGTAACTGTCTTCCGAGTTTTCATACTGGGCTGCCAGAGAAGTCATGCCTTACGGGTCTACACTTTTCTACGCAAGAGTACATCATGTCAACTCTATTATTGGAATTAAAGCAGAGAACAGAGGATAAATGACAGTTCATTAAAAACCTATCGACACCTTGCATTTGGGTATATTTTAGCACCTATTTGAACACACATTATTTAAGGAATAATCAAGCCACCGATTAAGCCATGAGCCGCAGCAATTCGGCCCTGGATGCCGAGTCCTTCCCTCCGCTCCCTTGCCCTCCGACGCCTAGCAGAGGAGGAAGGGATGGAGGTGGCTTGCTGGGGTCTAAGTCCTGCAGCAGAGGAGGAAGGGATGGAGGTGGCTTGCTGGGGTCTAAGTCCTACAGCAGAGGAGAGTGCTGCTGTGCTGAGTGCGGAGGACATAGGTGACAGTCACCTTCTCAGCTCCCGCAGCTCGCTGGGAAGGGCGCGCCACCAAGTGGAGGCCCAGGCAGGAACATCTGCCCGACCCCCGTCAAGGGAGTGGCGCCCAGGGCCGGGCAGCCTGCCATCCCCCGTGTGGCCCTGCCGTCCCCGCATGCACAGCCCGGCACTCTGCCGTTGGAGCCTGAGCCACCGCCTTGTGCAGCCCCAAGGAGCTCCACCCACACCTGGGAACGCAGCCTGAGACGCCCACACGCCAGGCACCAGTGCAGGGCTCCAAGGCTCATGGTTAGCATGGAGGAGAAACTACAGGAATTATTTCTAGGGGCCCAGAACACGGTGTGGTGGTTAAGACTGGATCCCAAATGGCCGATGGGATGTCTGGACTCCCAGACCTGGCTGCTTGGAAAACACACCAGGTGGACATGCGTGCAGAAACCCTGACAGGAGGGAGACGGCGGAGAAGGGACTGCGGTGTGACCATTCCCGTGGAGGGTGGTTCTGCATTCTGCCTCCCTCTGCCCCGTCTCTGTCTCTGTCTCTCTCTGGCAAATGCACATGCTTTCTGGAAACATTTTTTCTTTAAATTAGTTTTATGTTCCTGGGACCAGCAGTTCGCGTAATGGCTATGTCGTTGGACTCCCACGTAGTTGACCGCAGTTTGCATCCTGGACCCGGTGGCTTAAAACTCACGCCAGGCACGTGTGTGTGTGTGCCCAAGATCCCAAGAGGAGAATGGAGGAGAGGGGATTGTGGTGTGGCCATCCCCCTGGAGGGGGGGGTGTGTGATTTCTCGCTTTCTGTCTGTCTGGAGAGCGCACGTGCCCTATAGCAAAAAAAAAAAAAAAAAAAAAAAGTTTTATGTTCCAGTTCCAGTAACTTACAAACGTCTCCAGAGAGAATGGCCCAAGAAAATAAAAACGATCCCAATTTCAGTAGAAAATTCTGTCAAGAAGCCAGGTTCTTCCTATTGGAAATGTCACCCCATTCATTTACTCTAATGTCCTTGTAAAACTGTCGTCAGAAATGCTTACGACTTCCGTACTAAATTCACGTAACATATAAAGTATGTGAAGTTCGTACACACCACCTGTTCATATGTACCTAAAGCACTTCCTAAACAATACCTCACGTAAATCCTGCTTAGACTTACCAGAAAGGAAAGGACTCTGGAAAGTGCAAGGCTAAACCGTGACTGGACTGAAGTACGAGTCTGTTCTGGTGCAAGATTCCCACCACACGCCCTGCCGCAGGCACGTCGCCCGCTCCCTGACACGCGTCTAGTCCCCAGGGGCAAGGCCGTGGAGGTCTGCGTCCCCAGGGGCAAGGCCGTGGAGGTCTGCGTCCCCAGGGGCAAGGCCGTGGAGGTCAGCGTCCCCAGGGGCAAGGCCGTGGAGGTCTGCGTCCCCAGGGGCAAGGCCGTGGAGGTCAGCGTCACGGGCTGTCCTCACTCTCGAGCGGGTATGGAAATACCACACACGCCTCCACACCCGTGTCCGCTACAACACGCCAAGTATGACTGAGTCAGAGGCTCCTGCTGGGAGCGGTGAGGACGTGCAGGGACGCTCTGTGGCCACCCTCTGCCAGGCCCCGGTGCCCACGGGGCAGAGCGCACATGCGTCTTCCAGAGCGCGAGAGAGGGGTGGGGAGGGAGGGAGAACCCTCCTGTGTGTTGTGGCCGCACCGCAGCCCCTTCTCCTGTCTTCTCATTGAGGAGATCTGGGGTGTGTTTTCAAGCCACCGGGGCCAGGGTTCAGCCTTCGGTAGGCCATGGGGTATCCGGCCCTGTCCCCACTGCGCTGGCCTGAGGCATTTCTAAATGTCCAAGTTTAGAACTCATGCTTGCTTTAGACACGGTACCGATGCTGGGAGCTATTCTGAGCTCAGTGACGTTCTCGTACACAGAGAAACTGTACACAGAAAGTTCTGGGGGCCAGCAGGTGGCAGGGTGGTCCAGGCGCTGGACTCACACAGCCAACCTTGGCTGGTGGCGTCCTGGACCTGGCTGTGTGATTTGAAATAATAATAGTAATAATAATAATAATAATAAAATAAAATAATTTTTTTAAAATAGAAACTTCTAAAAACTGTAAGATACATGGGTCTCAATAAAGTTACTAATTTCCTTCCCAAGTACGATGTGAAGCACCAGAAAGTGTTTTCTTCCAAGCGGCGCTGACAGGGCACTCCCCCCGACCCCACAGGACAGGGTGCAGATGCACACGGGCAGCCGCCACCACGGCACGCCCCGTCGTCTGGTCTCAGACGCTGCGAGTCCTGTGATGGGAAATTCATCTGACTGTCAATCTAAGCCTTTAGGGACGTCGAGCCCCCATGAGCAGCCTGGGAGTCCCCCTCGGTGCCGGCATCGCTCATGTGCCCACATGTACCATGCAAATCACGGTAGAAGAAACCGGTACTTACTGTGACTAGAAAAGAAAAATCTCACTTAAGCCATTACCCTGAAAGCTCCTCCCTCTTATCCTCCAGATGCCGTGCGGCTGTCCGGTCCAGCCCCAGCCTGGCGAGCGCGGCCGCCTGCCCGCCTGCCCGCCCGCCCTCAAGCCGCCAGCGGGGCACTCACTTGGTCCTCCGCACACACCAGGACTCCTCCAGGACGTAGTAATTCACCCCCAGCCGCACCAGGTCCCGCTTCACCACCTCGGCCGCCTTCCGGCTGTACATGGAGTACACAATCTTGGTTCTGGCTCTTTAAAGACAGATCGTCGGGCAGGAGAGTTTCCAGATTAAAAGGCTATCGACATACTTGCATGAAAGCAGTGACAGGCCTCGAAGAAGGGCAACGCCGGGAATCAGGTCAAGAGAAACCCTGGGAGGCCCAGAGGGGAGGGCAGCGTGGCAGAGCCTGGGAAGCGGCTCCGCTGGGATGCACCCCTGAATCTCCACCTCAGTCCTATCTCTGCGCGTCCCCTGTTCTGGTTTCCAGATCCCTGATCAGTCTACCTCGTCCTGGACACACAGAAAGGGGTCACCCAGATGGCTGCGGATGCCACCGAGCTGCAGCCCAGCGCCCCCTCACAGGAATTCGCACAGAATGGGTCTCGTCTCAGCTCCACGTCTGAGAAAAACTAAACTGTCCTGGAAATGAGCTTGCTCAAGTTGCCTCTTTAATAACACAGCTTTTATTTATGAAATGTACATCCCACTGTTCCACAAAAGAATATAGGAATAGAACCATCTATTCACGGAGGAAATGAGCAGCTTTGCCCGCTTCAGAAACTGCGTAAGAACTGCACCTATCGCCTCTTCTAAGAGAGCACAGGGTCAAAATCGTGGAAAAAAAAAAAAAGCAGCCAGCATATTCTAGTAGGCTATATAAAAATACTACATGGATTTAAAATAGTTTTGCAGCAAAATAAACTCATACTTTAATTCTATTTTTCCACAAACTTTCCGAAACTTCCTTGTACTTCATTGATCCCTTAGAATCCAAGGAAAGCAGCCTTCGAGAGCCCTCGGGAAAGTCCGTCGGGAAGCGAGAGCATCTCTAGGGACTGGGGGGGGGGGGGGGGCCAGGGCAGGTCGCGGCCCTCCCTCCGCACGGCAGGCAGGAGGCCGCTCCTGCTTCAACCCTGCAGCCCTCTGCTCCGACTGCGGCCAGGCCACCCGCTCCTGTCTGAAACGCCCCTCACTCCCCTGCAGGGTGCACACTCGGGTCTGGATGAAGATCTGTCGTCACTGACACTGGACTGACCTCAGGCCTGCGTCTTCGTAATGGGGGTGATTCACGACGGGCCGGAGTGCAGACAGCTTCACACTGGCCATGGTGGGCATGGCGCCCGCAAACACGGCATCTAGGGAGCAAGGAGGGCGTTGGGCGGGCTGGGCGAGCACTGGACGGGGCCCTGCTAGTTCAACCGTTGGCTACGGGGGCAGAGCCGAGGCCCCGAGAATCACGCAGAGGTTCAGCGGCAGAACCAGGATAAACTGGACGGCTGACGAAGGGGCCGCCAGCACTCAGGCTGCAGCAAGCTACTCACCTCGGAAACGTTCCCACCTCGTCGTCGAGGTTTTTCTTGTATTTTTTTCTTTTCTAATATCTCAGACACTTTTCCTGAGTCTCGGAAAGAAGTACTAAGCTGACTAGGAAAGTTCTCTAACACCAAAGGGTTCTGGGATGCGACTAACATTCAATTGTTTAATCACTCAGATGACAGCAAAGTCCCTCTCTATCCATGAATGAAATAAGACATTCTGTGAGTTCATTTCAGGAAGGAACATGGAAGACTAACCGTTTTCATTAAAGAAAGAGTAAAGATTATTTTTAAACGTGGCATTTATAACTTTGGGTAAATCCTGAAAATATTAAATGTATGGAAAGTATCAGAATAAATTCGTAAGAGAGTAATTCTAACACCTTCCCTGCAAAGCAGGTAGACCCTTTCTTTGGGAGCTCTAGAGGCAGTCCTGCTTAGACATGAACACTGGAAGTCTCCTGGGCTTGGGATTTTGCAGTGGGATACATAATAAATGCAGAAACACTAGCTACAGCACGGTGATACCTGGCCGGGTGCTGTGTCGGCCCCGCCCTACACAGAGTTACCTGGCCCGGTGCTGTGCCGGCCCTGCCCTATACAGAGTTACCTGGCCCGGTGCTGTGCCGGCCTCGTCCTATACAGAGTTACCTGGCCCGGTGCTGTGCCGGCCCCGCCCTACACAGAGTTACCTGGCCCGGTGCTGTGCCGGCCTCGTCCTATACAGAGTTACCTGGCCCGGTGCTGTGCCGGCCTCGTCCTATACAGAGTTACCTGGCCCGGTGCTGTGCCGGCCTCGTCCTATACAGAGTTACCTGGCCCGGTGCTGTGCCGGCCTCGTCCTATACAGAGTTACCTGGCCGGGTGCTGTGCCGGCCCTGCCCTACACGGAGTTACCTGGCCCGGTGCTGTGTCGGCCCCGCCCTATACCGAGACAGAGTTACCTGCCCCGGTGCTGTGCCGGCCCTGCCCTATACAGAGTTACCTGGCCCGGTGCTGTGCCGGCCTCGTCCTATACAGAGTTACCTGGCCGGGTGCTATGCCAGCCCCGCCCTACACAGAGTTACCTGGCCCGGTGCTGTGCCGGATCCACTCTATGAGCTCTTCCTGCGGCAGGTTGCTGAACTCGCCTACGATGCTCCACTGGGTCTGCAGGTTTGCCGAGCCCTGCACCGACATGGCGGCCAGGACGGCAAACACGACAGCGCCGGGGTGTATTCTGCAGAAGAGCCATCCAAACAGCTGAAACGGCCAAACACACTGGTCACTGCGAGTGCGAGGGGCATGGACGCCGTGAGCAGAGCTCCTCCTAAAAACAGCACGGTCTCTGCTAGCGTCCAGTAAAGGATGACTTCTACGGAAAACCCCAGCAACGGCGACCCTCGGGGAAAGCATTCTACCATCTGCAGAGGTAGGTGAGCCTGACCTGGGGAACTCCTCTCCACCTGCTCTCACTGCTTCGAGTCAGACTCAATTCACAAGGCGCGGTGCAGAACTTAGGTGTGGGCCCTCCTTGTTCAAAACTTACTGAGGAATTCCAAACAGCAACAGCAAGCATTAAACCAAGAGCAGGTCCTTCTGATGGCAGGGCCTGTGATGGCAGAAGGCCCAGGCGTGCAAGGCCAGCCCCGGGCCCGGCTGTCAGGGCCCCTGCAGGGGAGCTTGAGATGAAAGGCTTCCCGCAGCCCTGCCTGCCTGAGCCTGGAGCCTGGCGCAGCGAGGGGCAGCAGAGGACGGTCTCACACGGTGCCGGATTCCCACGGAACTGAGGGCGGCCCGTCCTTCCCACAATAAGCCTGCACTCAGTGGCCTCTCCTGGATGCCATCCCTGTGTCTAGAGCAGGCCCCCAAGCTTCTTTCAGTGGCTAGAGGCCTTGGCAAGGTCTTCCGTCCACCACCCTAAAGCTCAGTGCGGGCACTGAGCTAGCTGTGCCAGATTTAAGAGGTAGGCCCTGCAGTGGACTTTGGCAATGGGTGGATCAAGAGACAGGCCATGGGAGCCCTCCGCCCTGAGGGAAGCAGGCATCCAGGAGAAGCAGGACGCAAGTGACCAAAGACGGCCTGAGCAAGTTCAGTAGGTGACAGTCAAGGATCTGCACCAAACATACACCCAAAAAGTGGAAAAGGGGGGAAGCTTAATACTAAAAAAGCCTCCTAATTTGAAAGTGTTTGTAACTTGAAATAAATTATTAGAATGCTTGTGACAGGAGTGTCAAAACAAACAAAAGAAACCATGACTGCAGTTGGGCCGCCCCCACCTGCAGTAACCGCTCTGGCCCTCACCCCCAGCCTGTGCTGAGCCACTGGTCGCTGTGCCGTGGCTATTTGAGAAGGGCAGGGCCAGCTCATGGCCAGGCAGGCAGGCTGGCTGAATCCCACACGGCTGGCCATGCCATTCAGGTCTCAGTCCTAGACCCAGTGGCTTGCAAAACATACCAGGCGTGTGTGCACGCATGCCCAAAATCCTGACAGGAGGGAGAAGTGGAGAAGGGATTACAGTGTGACAGCTCCTGCAGGGGCTGCTCGCTCTCTCCTGCTCTCCCCCAGCGAGCACACACGCTCCAGCAAAATTGAAACACAGAAAAAGAAGTCAGAAGGACAGAACATGATCCGCTTTGCCCCTCACCTTCAGGGAACACGTACAGACCACAGAAATGTACACGTGACTGAGGGATGGGGGAGCTCGTGCTGCCCAGGGCCCCCAGCACGGCGGGTGGCTTCACGCACTGGGACGGCCCGACGCCCTCGTTACCTGTCTGGAGCAGATGAGGGAGGCCATGATGCACATGTGTGGGGTCAGGAAGAGCTTCAGCCTCATGACGAGAACCCCGAGGGCGGTGTAGGCCAGCAGCTGCAGCGCGTGGTAGGCCAGCTGGGGAAGCAGAGGGCACGTCACCCGCAGTCCGCGAGGGGAGCCGGCCAGCCTAGCTATGAGTGCAGGAGCACCTGGCTGGCTGCGAGTTGTAGACCGTCCGTAAAGTCTGGTTTCGAGCTACTGCATTTGGTAGAGGCTGCGATAAGGTCCCGGAGCCACGCGCCTGTAGTCCTGGGGGCTGTGGTTACGGGCCCCGCACTCGGACCTCCCTGGTGCCCCCTGGAGACCCAGGCAGGAAGGCGGTCCAAGAGCTGACTGGGGATCCGGAGTTCACCGAACCGGAACCGCCCCAGAAACCAGGCCCAGTCCAGCCCTCCTGGCTCAGAGCTGCAGGAAGTCACTCCCTGAGCCTCAGAGCCAAGGGAGCCAGGGGGGAGAGCCGCCCCCCACCCCGGCCCCTTCCCGCAAGGGCGACGTGACTGGGCTCCGGATAAGCTCGGGGCTGTCGGGTCGGCAGAACCGCCAGGAGCTTCCGCCCCACCTGCCGTGACAGCACGCTCACACACACACGGGCTGCTGGGAAGGTGGCCGACGACAACGGCAGTGACAGCAGTGACAGACAGGCAGTCCGACCCCACGCGCAGTTAGACGAGCGAGTCGGAGGTCCGTACCTCTCCACGATCCGAATGGTGCCTTCTGAAATGGAAACAGCGCCAAACACGCCTTTGCACTTCCTCACAAAGACAAGTTCTGCAGCGTCTAAGAAGTCCCTTTAAGTCACATATGAGTAAATAAAAACAGATACACCCCAACGGGTGTCCCGGTCATTTAACCTGTTTACTTCCAAATGACGGCGGTGCATTGCACCTTGAGTTCGGTTCAGGTGCCCTCGTGGCAGAGCCAGAGCAAGGACCTGGACGCCCCAGGGTCCCGCATGTCTGCTTCCCGGCCCCACGGCCCTCGCTCCACACCCACCACAGCTGCAAGAGACAGTGGAGCCTTGTAGAAGCCGCCATTCACTTCAGCTCAGCCGTGGGAAGCAGGGAGAGCCACGAAGTTCACCTCGCGTGTGGCCTGGCTGTTGATGTCACGCTCCGAGGCGGCAGGCCCTTCTGTCCTCATCCCTGCCCCACGTCACCCCCGTCACAGTGAGTCTCGGAAACGAAGCCAGCCATGTGCTCCTCACGGAGAACTCTTGGCTGGGCCCTCAGACCCTCATTCTGCAGCACGGTCTTCCAGGCTGGCCACGCACACATGACTCCCCCTGCTGCCGTACGCCCGTGGTCTCGGGGCTCTGGCCCCCTGGGTGGTTTACTCCTTAAGGCATCAGAGAGGCCTTCGGCTCTGCCCAGCCGGGGTCCTCTCCTGGAACACACCCCACACTGCCTGGTTTACCTTCGCACCCAGGACAAAACTGCCTCTGGTCTGTCTCCCAGATCTTCACCTCCTCTCCCTGCCCCCACGAACCTTCAGGAGTCTGGGGCACACACCCATCCGCCCCTCCACCCCGTGTCCCTGAGCGCCAAAGGCCCAGGACAGAGCAGTCATCGATGGAAGGTCTCCACCATCCTGAGCTTACAGGAAAGTGGGAGGAGACAGACCGAGCGAAGGCAGATCCCACATGTGCCACAGGCATGGAGGACGGGAGAGGCTGAGGGGGCGGCAGTGCCCGAGAAGGCACGTGGCAGCCAGCGCGTCACCGAGGGGACCCGAGTGAGGCCCGAGCCCTCCCCAGGCACACGCATGGGCACAAACACCACGGGAGAGAAGCGGGGTGCAGGAGCTGGTGGGGCAGGGGCGAGGGCCATCACACACAGCATGCCCGAAGAGGGCAGGGGAGGGCGGAGGGCCGCACCAGCCCTGAGGACGTGGCCAGGACGTGGCGAGGGCAGACCTGGCCTGCCCTCTGTGTGTGGGCTGACCTGGGGACAGGGTAGAGCAGCATCGGGAATCTTTTAACCCTGAGGGGCAAGTGTAGGTGCTGGACAGTCCCTTGGCTAACCCTGTCACCAGCCCGACTCACCGGGGCGCGAGCTAACAGCTTAGAAGGGACTGCGGCGTGGCCATCCCCCCTGGGGGGTGATCTCTCTCTTTCTGTCTCTCTGTCTCTCTCCGTCTTTCTGGCGAGTGCATGCGCCCTATAGCAAAAACCTCTCCAAAAAAAGGTTTCCATCGAAATGAACGTTTCTATCCTGGAACTGCGGCCTCTCACGTGCCATCAGTCACGTGTGAACACCCACACATGCGCCCACGTGGTTTCCGGGCCCAGCCACCGAGCAGGGACTACTGAGCAGAAGCAGCCTGTCCCCCCAGGACAGACAGCCACGCCGCCCTTCGGTGTGAAAGGGACACACGTTGGGGGAAGGCGGAGGGTGTGCCGGCGGGAAATCACAGCAAGGGCAGAGGACGTGACGTGAGGAAGGGCCCCCAGCCGCAAAGGCCCAGGGCAGAGGGGTGCAGGGCGATGGGCACAGGGCCACTCCCAGAGCTGCAGGTGTGTGCAACTCGCCAGAGACACGGAGGGAGAGAATGTGAGAATTCCCCCCCCGGGGGAAGGCATGCCGCGGGCCCTTCTCCACTCCCCTCTCTGGGTCTTGGGCCTGCACACACACACCAACGTGTTCTTCAGGATCTGAACTGTGCGGCCGCCCTGTGGGCCCAGCGCCTTAGCCTCCATGCCGCCTGCTAGCCCAGCGCTGGGCTTTTAGCTTTCCTGGTTACTGATCTGTAAAAGCTCTTACATAGCACGGTCATCAGTGTAACTGCGCATTCTCCCCAGTCGTCCTTCTGGGATCACTAGGATCCTGTCCCACAGCACCTGGCTGGCCAGCAGTCCCGGTTAGCGCTGGGGTCTCTTACCTTCCCCACATTTGAATCTCGGCCCCATCTAGAATTTATCCTATAGAAACAGGTCTAAGTCCAGTTTTCTGTTTCCCTACGCATTTCTAAAAAGGCAGGCCCCTGGACTAAAACCACACACAGAACAATTTATTTTTTTTTTAGAGGCTGGCCCCATAAACATAGCTTGGGTACAGGCCTCCTGTCAGCCAGCATGGACGGGGACTGCAGGGGGGACAGGCGGTGTGCATGCTCGGCAGGGTTGGGGACTGCACGGGGACAGGCGGTGCGGGGGCTCGGCAGGGGCGGGGGGCGCAGGG